ATGTATTGAAGAATTTGTTTTATCAAATCAATGCATTCATTCACATTTATCAACTGAACTTCGTCACGCGATGTTCATACAGATGGCAGTAATTTTTACAGAAACGGGGAAAGTCAGGCAATTTTAGACGAAAAATAGCGAAGACCAGGGTAATTTTAAGATAGGGCGAAAATGTGACAAAATTCAGGCGAAACGTTGCGTGATTTGAAGTTTTAGTTAGATAATTTCAATGTCCGCTTCAGCTCTACACTCCCCCTCTCCCCAACAAAAAAATTCTGTTTATACGCTGTTATATCGACGCTATTTTCGATCACCAGAGGGGTGAGTGGGGGGTTAATATCGTTCGAGTTCATTACAATGGAAATGACTAAATTACATTTTAGTTTCAACCAATAGTAGTGTTACGGTCAGCATTATCTCCATTCCTATTGGATAAAACTAGCTTGTAATGAAGCTCATAAATTACACTATCAATTGGTGTGGCATTAGTGTAATCACACGAATAGAGATAAGACCAACTTCTACACTAACACAGAACCAAAAGTTCTTGAAAGAAACATTCCTCGTCGTACATGATGTATGTGCAACTAGTAGCATTAGCTACACTGGTGATTTGCATAGTGGTCGATGCTCAAACGGGTCCTCCGTACAAAGGTAAAGTAGAGAAATTGATTAATCATCACGGAAACCAGGTGTTCAAAATCACTAGATGATGTATGTAAGAAGTAAGAGATAGAAAAACGATGATTTGTTGTTCATGCAAAGAGAGGTTAAATGTTACAAATGACCACGTATCTCGAGCAAAATTGAACTCACGCCTTTTATCTCAGCTGCGTCAAGCAGCGGCAGAACTATTGTCCGTCAAAATAAATTATATCTCCTCAATTTTAAATTTAAATTACAGTCAGAAAAAAACTATTGGTTTTTAATTTCTAAAGAATATAAGTTTGCGAATGAATTTGCCTCTAAGATGTTTAGAAATGTAAATATACGCCAAAATGTGCTGCGGTAATTTATTTTGACGTACTCTGGAGCAGTCGCAGGCGTCAATAGCAATTGCCACATACAGAGTGCATTATAGGTGCTTACCTGCCGGATAAATAGCGCCGAAAGTCTTTGATGATTTTCATTTGTTGGCATTTCTGTACACCAAATGTATATTGCATCTATAACAAGAGACGTGGAGGCTCAAACAAATATTTGTTGTAAAAATTGAACGATGCCAACAGCATCCTCGCAAATGAATATATGGCGATGAAATGAAATGAATTAATAAACAGAGTATAACAATGATAATCAACGCCACTGAATCTATCGTTGAGACTTTAACGATGTGTGCACATGAAATACAGCACGTAACATGCAATTTAAGCTAAGACGTTTGGCGAATGCGGAAAGAGTTATAACAGTTACGGGGTAATTCGATTGAGTAGTGAGCACAAAGCACTTTTTAATCTCAAAATTTTTAAACTTCGATGTTTATGATATAAACATAATATTATTCGAACTATGTTGCTCCTTTGTGGCCATATATTTGTTAGACCATACATATAAACGCGATGCATACCTATTTTTGGAGTTAGATGATAAGAACACTCTAGATCTTCAACACGACTAAAATATGTCAATGAAATACGATTTAAAAAAGTAAGGACAGATATTTACTGACTGCGAATAAAATATTTATTTTGTAAAACGCAGAAGCCCATAACACAACACCATACATGAACCTTACGTTTGAGACGAAAATAAACGAAGTATAATGAAATGGTAAGACAAATTAAAATAAATGGTAGACAAAATTTCAGCTCATTGTTCTTATGACTGGCATTATGTTTCAAAGATTTCAAGAAGATGTGAGGAATCTTTGTAGCATTTTTGTATAAAAACTCTTTGTGTAAAATGTGCACTCAACTCAATTGAAACTAAATTGACTTATTAAAACTGAAGCAATTCAACATTTCCGTATGCAAATTCTGTATAAGATTCTTGTCTATTATAGACAATACCTAACATAGTTATTTGCTAAAATGTTGAAAAAATCTTTCTAAACTTCAATTTAAAGTTCAAATAGCACAGGGATCTATGATTCCATAATGGAACAAGAATTTCAGCATATAGTTCATTTAAGATCGGGAAGTCTTCAATTTATAATAGACTCATCACACGCTGCGTGGAAAGCATCCATCGAATCAGCAACAACATAATTTCATTCTTTTAAGGAGTTTTAGCGGAAAGAACAGTGCAAGAATGTTGCGCTGCCGTAGCTCTTTCAGTATTTCTGAATTAAAAAAAAATAATGACGAGTATACCTTCTTCTTTCGCTTTGTAATTATTGATGTTCACTGACTGTAAAAACAATCAATTCCTAAAGAAATGAATAATGATAATGATTCAGTGTTTATATAGCGGTACTAAATATGGAGGCTATCTATAAGATTGGCAACAAAAGACTCGTTTAACCAATAAAATGAAGTTCATGAACAATGCCGGATATTAAATAAGCGTTTTAAAATCTATTTTCATTTAAAAAGTTACCTCCAATGCCCTCATTCATCACGTGACTATTTTTGTCACAAAGTGTTATCGAATAAAGAGCTTTTTCAGAGAGAGTACTTTTCCGCAATACGTGTAAATAACGGGAAATGCAAAACATAACTCAAAGTGTTATCAAAAGCGAATACATGGGCTTAAAACATCGATAATTGTGCCCTCCAGCTTTCCTCTTATGATCAATGTCCTTGTGCCCATTCGAATAACAGAACATATGAACAAATACAATAACAATCAATATGTTGCACATGATGTTTCAAAGTTTAAACTTAAAACTACTGGTGGAGTACATTCAAAATTCTTTGTAGCATGTGGCCTCATGATATGAAGTGATAATAGAGAGTTTCAACAATAAACAAATACTTGATCTCGCAAAGAGGAGCTAGTATTGTAGCAAAATTCAAATGATTAAAAAACGTGAAAACGTGCAAGTTAGCAACAACGCATTTTGCAATGAGCGATATTCCGCAGTTACCAATCAACTTTACTACAAACGTCTTAGCTCCCCAGTTAAAATGCAGACAAAATTTGAGCTTTAATTTTAACTGCTCCTATGAAATAAACAGGTAGCTTATTTTTCAAATATCAAAAAAGTAAGTTTAGTAAACGAATAGCATAGATGAATGATGTTTTGTGATATTCAGTGCTCTCGTATTATGAGGAAAATTCTCAACTTTGACGAATAACGTTTTGTTACGCGTCAGGATGATTGAGATTGATACTATTTTCCTTCCCCGTTTATCATTTATGGGCCATCCTTTTATGTCCCCCAACTATAAAAATGGAACTGTGAGAGGAGACTTGTTTTTACTTCCTTCTGTGTTTGAGCTGAATCATCTAAAAATTCATTTATAGCACGTTTGCTCTCTCCATGTAGTTTGTGTCAACGACGTAGCTGCATGTAATAACGCCAATCTAACCATAAATGTCACGTGTCAAGCAGCAACATCCGGTTCAAGTTGCGTTGAAGATGTTGTGAACGGTCGAGCAGATATGACTTTGGCTTCAGCTGATCATATGGTCCAAAATGGTAAGAAATCCATTTATTTATTATTGTATTTAGTGTAGTGTATAAACTGGAGCATTTATAAACGATCCATACTGAAGCCACTGATTTTCCATGCAGGCTTTAAAGGTGTACATAGAGTTATCGTGAGAGCCCAACATGAATATTAATAAACCCAACATCAAGTCTAACGAACAATTTTAAGGACAGTCATTTGACATAAATTTAAGATCTTTCTTTGTAGTGTAGTGACGTTTCGTGTTTCACATCCAAATCAACCATATGTTACTTAGCACTCTATATGCACCTCGATGTGAGAATTTTTTGGCACTTACACAAGATTTTTTATCATTTTTCCCGTGTTCTCAAAGTTTTCAAACATCAAAATCTGCTATAGCATATATTCATTTAAGAGCCAATACTACTCTGCATTGTACGTATGTAAACAGCACGTCATCTGCACATCAGAATCTCATAACGTTCAAGAATCTCAGTGATGACAAAAAATACCCTCTAAAAACCCCTATATCTAGCAAGTTCTCCGACATAACACTTCCAGAAATCTTTGTTTGATTCGATGATTTCCACAATCAACTTCGGGAATCTCACGCCATCTTCCTATTCATGAATGTGTCTTCTATTCGTTAACTGAAACATTCATTCAATGTTTAAAGTACCTCAACAACATACGAACGTTTTGAAAACAATCTTCAACTGTTTTGATCTTGTTTTCCGTAATCTCCCGCCTTAGGTCGTCTTTGTTTGTACAATCTCACTTTCTTGTGATGTAATAGTCTATAAATTTATATTTATACAGAGCAATCTAATTTATATCAATAAGGCGATGTAGTTTAAATATTTATGTTGAGCATTAATCTTTATAATACGTAAGCAGAAACTATGTATGCAGTCCAGTTTCCATATTAGTTCTAGCACTGGACGAAGAATGCAAACATTCAGTAATGACTCTCCATCTAGAATCTTTCACTGTTTGTAAAATTTTACAACATATTTTCTCTTCTTAGCTTACAATCTTCAAATTGTCATTGGTCAAAAACTACCAAACCTCGACAACTTTATCCAATATTATGGTTTGGCTGTCGTGAAGAAAGATACTACTTTCAATTTCACCTCCCTGAGGAATCAAAAATCCTGCCATACTGGCGTAGAAAAAACTGTCGGTTGGAAAATACCTGTTGGCAGTATGATATTCACTAAAATGATGCCTTTTACCGAGAACCAGTACGTGTCTGCTTCTAATTTCTTCTCTCAGAGTTGCGCACCAGGTAAGATATCTTTAGTATTAATCATACAGTAAATAAAGTTTTTGTAGAAAATTGATGCATGACAACAAGTCACTGTTATTTTGTGATCACTAATGGTGATTTTTCAAATTCATGTACAATAATATCCATATGTACACATTCATATCAATATTTAGGTGCAAGAACCATCGAAGGAATCAACGAAACAGTGAAAAACGATCTCTGCTCTTTGTGTAACGGAACATGCGCACAAAACTCAACAGAGGCATACTACAACTACGAGGGAGCATTCAGATGTATGGCTGATGGTAACAATGACCGTGTTGGTTTTGTGAGACAAACGACCGCTAGAAACTTTTTTACCAACTATCCCAATTATAGAGGCACAACTATCGCAGACTATAAACTACTTTGTCCAGATGGAACTACAGCTGGTAAGTTTTGAAAAATATCTCCATCTAGGACGTTTGAAAACAAAGAAAGAATATTTTCTAAAGAAGGAAAAAATTCAACAAGACGACACTAACATGAATTCGTATGCATTTTGAAACATCAAGGTTTTAAGTTTTAAACAAACACGACGATCGGATCCACCACATGCGAAAATGGATAAAACAAATATAAATTACAATTTTCTTTGAAATTGTATTTTTTCTTAGGAAAAGTAAAATTGTAATGGTGAGCAAAATCATCAGTTTGTTCTCACAATGCTGTAGAAAAGAATTCACCAGTTTCTATTCTTTTATGTATATTTGGAGAGACTGATTTTTTATTAATGACGATACTTTTCATTTCATATAGCTTTAGATCAATACAAAAACTGCTACATCGGAACAAGACCATTGTACGCCATTGTCACTGGGAAATCAACATCGTCTGAAACAATCACACGCATCCAAAATATGTTACTAGGAGTTGATATCAGGAATTTAACGGCAGCTGGAATAGCATACAAAAATGTAGAAAGATTGGTGAGGTATACTGGTGGATCTGTCAAAGACTACGTTGGATCATATGGAAATTATTTTAATGCTCTTAGTGGAAGTACAGGTATGGGATTGGATAACAAACTGACCAACGTTCGGTGTCATTCCATTGTAACTCAGAAGAAAGCTCTTAGCTTTGCATTAATTTACCGCAAGGAATTTAATTATGAACATTGGCAAACTAGGAATCAATTTTAAAAAATCTATATCATAAAAAGCGAATTCACAAATTTTTATCGCGCGATATGGTTAGAATAGATAGTTGAAATAAATTACGGACATTGTGTACGAATGAAAATCTAATACAATTCTTGTTTCAAACACCTTGCGTTATCTGCTTCAAACAATAATTGCAACGCGTTCACCCTTCTTTGTTTAGCTTTCTTTACTGCCTGTGTCAGCGATGTATCTGCCTGTAGAAAGGCAGGATTGACGAATGTGACGTGCGTTGGAGCAACACCCGGTTCAACTTGCGCAAAAGATGTCGCTGACGGTCGCGCACATATGACTTTGGCTGCAGCTGATCCCATGGTTCAATATGGTGAGAGCTTCCATTTACAAACCATGCATATACAAAGAGTAATTTACCAATCTTTTTGTGAGGTGAACTACGTTAAAACTATTTTTCGATGATGAATTGCTCTAGGTGAAGTGCTACGCTTTGCTAGATTTCAGGTTTTAACTGTATGTAAAAATTTTTACAACATATTTTCTCTTCCTTAGCTGACAGTCTCCAAATTGTCTATGGTCAAAAACTACCTGACCTCGACAACTTTATTCAATATTACGGTTTGGCTGTCGTGAAGAAAAATACAACTTTTAATTTCACCTCCCTGCAGAATCAAAAATCATGCCATACTGGTGTAAGAAAAACTGTCGGTTGGAAAATCCCTGTTGGTTATTTGTTATACAACAGAGAGATGATGTTTACAAATAGTCAGTATGAATCAGCTTCAAATTTCTTTGGACAAAGTTGTGCACCAGGTAAGGACTGTTACCACTTTTATTTGTTTTGCATGTTACATTGTTTTTGAACAGGTGAAAACGATAAAGTTATCAAGGGATGAAGTGAAGGCTTTTTGTGAGTTGAAGCAAGAAAGCTTCATATCAACTAAAACACCAATTCTGTTCAATGAACAGTTATATCATTTACTGTTTAAGCTTTTAACAATGTACTATCGTGAGTGGGAAAAGCTTCTTTCTAGTATTATTGTAATGATGCGTCACGTATAAACGTATACTCGGTCATATATTTGGACTTTATACTCTTCCAGTCCTTGCCTCCATTCGTACAAAATGATGTGAAAACCTTGATGATGTGAACGCTCAACAAAAGCTCTACGTTGTTATCTGTCTACAAAATTTCTCATTTTCTTACAAAACATTTGAATCAGCACCCATTGCTGTAATTTGCTAACAAGTGCAAGTATTGGGGCGGAAAGAAAATTATTTAGAGTTTTACGAGTCCAGCCTCGTGTGTACGGAGGGGATTCTTCAGCGAAATGCTCAGCGAATCCGGTACAAGACGAATCCTGTATCACGTGAACAGGGCCTTAATGACAATCAACAGTAGTGTTCTCTTACAAAGATGACGCATTTAAATGCGACGACAAACTTGTCGTGGATTCAATCAAAGTTTCAATTAAATTGAAGAATGAATCTTATTCGGCAGTTTTCACCTGTTAAACTGTGGCTGTCCTTAAAACTCTCACGCATGCGCACGTGTTTTCCACGCATGCGCACGTGTTGTTTACCTCGACTTCATTGATGATGACGTGTATGTACTTTATTGCTATCTTTAGGTATTAACGACATCGAGGGAATGAGCGACGCTGTGAAAAACGATCTTTGCTCTTTGTGTAACGGATCATGCGCACAAAATTCTTCAACTGAGCCATACTACAACTACGAAGGAGCTTTCAAATGTATGGCTGATGGTGACAATGATCGTGTTGGTTTTGTAAGGCAAACAACAGCTATGGAGTTTTTACATAAATATCCCAGTTATGGAAACACTAGCGACTACGAACTTCTCTGCCCTGATGGAACAAAAGCTGGTAAGGTGGAGGTGTGAGTGGCCGTTTAAACAATTCTGGTGATGACCTTGATGCCTATCGTTTAACGCTGTTTACACGATATGGCTGTGAAATATTTCCAATTGCATGTTAAATAGAAGCAGTAGAAATCACTTGGGTTTTATGTGTTGATGAAGTGGATTTCTATGAGATGACATTTTTCTCCTTCAATATTTTTCTTTTAACGTTTTAATCGACTAATCACTTTCATGATTGTACATTCTACCATTACCGTATCAACCAGGGTATTATAAACCTTTTACATATTAATCCGCTCAGTTGTTTGAGCAAGCGATGTCTCTAGTAAATAGATGAGAGGAAAAAGCAGCAAGCTATGTATGACATTAGATTTTGTACACATTTTTTATTGCAAGATGTGGAAATTTTACCATGGAAAGTTTTTTCATATTTCATATAGCTTTAGATCAATACAAAAACTGTCACATCGGAACAAGACCATTGTACGCCATTGTTACTGGTAAATCAACATCTTCTGCTACGATCACACTAATCCGAAACATGTTGAACGGAACTGATCTCAACAAGTTACAGGCAGCTGGAATAGTAACCAACAAAATTGAAAGATTGGTGAGGTATACTGGTGGATCTGTTAGAGAGTACGTTGGATCATATGAAAATTATTACAATGGCCTTATTGGAAGTCAAAAAGGTATAAAGATTGCCAAACAAAACGTAGCCATAGTGTTTATCGCTCATAAACACAGATTGCACAGAGTTGTGATTTTCCTGCAGGACTGACTTGTGGATTAACTTTTGGATAAAGTACAACTTTATCCACAAGTTTAATTGTCTTACATCAAAAATAGTTTTCTTCACTCTAAATGGTATTTTCGACCAACTCCAAAGTTTTTATCCTACAATGAAGTAGACCGTTCCATTTCATCAAAAATCCTTTGCCCATTACCATTCTTTTCTACTTTCTTCAATTCGACTTCCTTTTCTGGAGTTGGAAAAATATGTCACCAAAACAATTCATTTGTAATACACAGTCGATTTCACTGCTATGTATAGCTTACGGACATAAATGACAATCATTTATTTTTTACGTAAACTTTATACACATTTAATCTTTACCGTTTAGGTTTTTATAAAGTTTGCGTGAGCGATGTATCTGCGTGTGGGAACGCAAGCTTGCCAAATGTGACATGCGTAGCAGCAATATACGGTTCATCATGTGTGAAAGATGTTATAGATGGACGAGCCCACGTGACTTTGGCTGCTGCTGACTCGATGGTTCAAAATGGTAAAAAAATTATACATGTATAAAATAAACTTGGAGTGTACGGATGGGAATGTAAGGAAACAATGAATTCATTTCTTATTCTTAAAGAAAAAATGAGCTCAATGACAATATCATGTAACTATGATGAAGACACTAGGCTGGAGTACACAGGGACTTTAGTTTCAACTTCCAATGACTCCTGATGACGACAATAGACTGAAGTATATAAAAACTTAAGTTTCAGTATCAGATCACTTCTGATGAAGGCACTAGACTGAAGTATAGAAGAACTGAAGTTTCAACATCAGATCACTCCTGTTGAAGACATAAGACTGGAGCATACAAAAACTCAAGTTTAAACATCAGATCACTCCTGATGAAGACATAAGACTGGAGTATATAAGAACGCAAGTTTCAACATCAGATCACTCCAGATAAAGACACTAGACTGGAGTATATAAGAACTCAAGTTTCAACATCGGATCACTTCTGATAAAGACACTAGACTAGAGTATATAAGGACTCAAATTTCAACATCAGATCACTTCTGATAAAGACACTAGACTGGAGTATATAAGGACTTAAGTTTAAACATCAGATCACTCCAGATGAAGACATTAGACTGGAGTATATAAGAACTCAAGTTTCAACATCAGATCACTCATAACGAACATACAAATCGTTACAAGTATATAAAACAACTCGCATTTTATCAAAGATAACTAGGCCATCATAATTCACTGATCTATGATGTACATAAAGATGTTGAATAGCACCAATCCACTCAAAAATCAAACTAAAGTAAAAGGACTTTGACGTACAAACATGACCCAGGTTTCATTTGATTTCATGTTCTAACTGTACGCAAAATTTTTACTTTCCACTTTTTCTTCTTCAGCTGACAATCTCCAAATTGTCTATGGTCAAAAACTACCAAACCTCGACAACTTTATTCAATATTACGGTTTGGCTGTCGTGAAGAAATATACTACTTTCAATTTCACCTCCCTGAGGAATCAAAAATCCTGCCATACTGGAGTAGGAAAAACTGTCGGTTGGAAAATCCCTATTGGCAGTATGATATTCACTACAATGATGCCTTATACGACGAACCAGTACGTGTCTGCTTCTAGTTTCTTCTCTCAAAGCTGTGCACCAGGTAAGCAATCTTTAGTATTAATCATACACTAATAAAGATTGTAGAAAATGCCTTTTTCGAAACAAAGTTGTTAAGATTTTGCCTACCCATGTAAATGCACACGTGAGCTACACTTTGGGCAAGAATACAGTTTGTTACTTGAAGTAATGTTTAACTATGACGTTCAGCAAATCCACGGAGATGTGCTTTGCTTAAACAATTTGCTGAACAAAAATTCCTGTCGCAGTGACTATGCATGAAAATGTTGAGTTCAACGAGCTTAAATCAGTTCTGTTCATGAATTATCTGTCGCTTTATTTTTGTCGATTAAAATAACAAACAATATTTTGTATTCGCCACCATTTTTTTCGATTACAGCTTCCAAGCAGTTGTGTTTGCTCAAATATTTCAAAAAGACAAGGACATTTTACAACAGAAATCGTTTTAATTGAAAATTTTGTAAAGATTCTCTCAGCTTGACTAAAATTGATGCGTGACATCAAATCACTGTTAATTTGCGATCACTAATGGTGGTTTTTCAAATTCATGAACATTAATATCCATATTCATACATTCATATCCATATTTAGGTATCAATGACATCGAGGGAATCAGCGAAGCTGTGAAGACGGATCTCTGCTCTTTGTGTAACGGATCATGCGCACAAAATTCTTCTACAGAGGCATACTACAACTACGAAGGAGCTTTCAAATGTATGGCTGATGGTGACAATGATCGTGTTGGTTTTGTAAGGCAAACAACAGCTGCAGAATTTTTAGCTAAATATCCCAATTATAGAGGCACAACTATGGCAGACTATGAACTACTTTGTCCAGATGGAGCTACAGCTGGTAAGTTTTGAAAAATATTTTCACCAAGGACGTTTGAAAACAAAGAAAGCAGATTTTCTAATAAAGGCAAAAATTCAACAAGTCTACAATAACGTGGATTCACAAGCTTTTTGATAGGTTAAGGCCTTCAGTTCTAACCGCATACGAAAGTAGATAAAACAAATTAAATTTCATTTTTCTTTTGAAAAATGAAATTTTAATCGGGGGCTACAAAATTATCAGTTTTTGAGCATGTTTTTTTGTTCTTAAATTGCTGTAGAGACGAATCCATCAGTTTCTTTCCTTGTATGTGAAGTTGGTGAGACCGACATCTTACTAATGACGATTCTTTTTATTTCATATAGCTTTAGATCAATACAAAAACTGCTACATCGGAACAAGACCATTGTACGCCATTGTCACTGGGAAATCAACTACCTCTGCTACGATCATACTAATCCGAAACATGTTGAATGGAACTGATCTCAACAAGTTACAGGCAGCTGGAATAGTAACCAACAACATCGAAAGATTGGTGAGGTATACTGGTGGATCTGTCAAAGATTATGTTGGATCATATGGAAATTATTACGATGGTCTTAGTGGACGTACAGGTATGAGATTGGATAACAAACTGAACAATGTTTGGTATCATTCGTTTGCAACTCAGTAGAAAGCTCTCAGCTTTGCATTAATTTACCACAAGGAATTTTATGGTAAAGATTGGCAATAATGACTCAATTTAAAAAATCGTTATTATAAAAAGCTAAATCACAAAGGTTCCTTTCCCGCGCGATACGGTTAAAATAAATTACCTACGAAAGTTTACGCTTGTCAGATAACATAATGATAGTCGCTTAACTGAAGCATACAAGCACAGTACATAAATGAAAATCTTATAGCTACAATTAATGGATAACTCAATTGTTTCAAACACCTTGCGTTATCTGCTTCAAACAATAATTACAACGCGTTCACCCTTCTTTGTTTAGCTTCCTTTACTGCCTGTGTCAGCGATGTATCTGCCTGTAGAAAGGCAGGATTGACGAATGTGGCGTGCGTAGGAGCAACACCCGGTTCAACTTGCGCAAAAGATGTCGCTGACGGTCGCGCACATATGACTTTGGCTGCAGCTGATCCCATGGTTCAATATGGTGAGAGCTTCCATTTACAAACAATGCAATTACAAAATGTAGTCTATCGATATTTTTCATTCCTGGATTAATTCAAAAAAATTTTCGGTATTAAACTGTTCTCGGTGTAGGGAAACGCTATGCTAGATTTCATGTTGTAATTGCATGCAAAATTTTTAAAACATATTTTCTCTCCCTCAGGTGACAATCTCCAAATTGTCTATGGTCAAAAACTACCAGACCTCGACAACTTTATTCAATACTACGGCTTGGCTGTCGTACAAAAAGATGCTCCATTCAACTTCAGGACGCTAATGGGGAAAAAATCCTGCCACACCGGAGTGGGAAAAACTGTTGGTTGGAAAATCCCTGTTGGCAATATGTTATACAATAGAACAATGCGTTATACGACGAACCAGTACGTGTCTGCTGCTAGTTTCTTTTCTGAAAGCTGTGCACCAGGTAAAGTATCCTGTCTTCATTATTACATTGATAGTTTTTAGCGAAGGATCTTTTATGAGGACAGCCCATCTGTATGAGAGTACAAGTAATCTAAAATTTGATTATTTTTCATTTACCTTCATGGTGAGCGCTTAACGCTTTTGTATAAGACGTCGTTGTTTTTAAAAGCCAAAATTTAATGGTATTTAACCATCAATATTAGTCAATGCAAAAATTGTTACACATCAGCCTGTCTTAGGGGCTGTTTACATGAGCACGGGTAGCCGGGATTCAGCCAAGCGTTAAATGATTTTGGCAAATGGAAAAGATTTAATACTTATCATCAGATGAATGTTCTTCAGCAATTTCAGAATATTCTGATTTAATAACTACACACGCATAACATTCAAAATCGAACAAACAAATTTGGCTAATTGAGAATTAAAACAGGCATTACTTGCGGCGCTTAACGAACAGTTGTAATTTTTACGCTTGAAGTTTCGACTCTTTTCAATGCGTCGAAATGATTTTACGCCTCAATGAATCCCGGTTAGCCGCGATCATGTAAACAGGCCTTTAGTTTCTTTGTGATCTTTCCGGCAGTGATTTTTCAAACAATGGCATTTTATTCAGGTGCTAAGGCCATCCAAGGAATCAGTGACGACGGATCACTGCTCTTTGTGTAGCGGAACATGCGCACTAGATTCTACAGAGCCATATTAATGGTGATTTTTCTAATTCATGTACATTAATGTCCATATTTATACATTGATATCCATATTTAGGTATTAATGACATCTCTGGAGTCAGTGACGCAGTGAAGAGAGATCTTTGCTCTTTGTGTAACGGAACATGCGCACAAAACTCAACAGAGGCATACTACAACTACGAGGGAGCATTCAGATGTATGGCTGATGGTAACAATGATCGTGTTGGTTTTGTAAGGCAAACCACAGCTATGGAGTTTTTAGCAAAATATCCCAATTATGGTGCACTTGAAGATTACAAACTACTTTGTCAAAATGGAACTACAGCTGGTAAGAGGAAAATTCTATCAACACAGAGCATTAAAACATAAAAAATTGAAGGGCCTCTTAGTGTAAACTGAATAGCCATTGCCACACTCAGTCGGTCATTTTTTACACCGTCCAGTGCAACTGTGAAAGATCCCTTAAAGGATAAATAAATTCCGGAATGTTATTGGTTCACCTTTACCTTACAACAGATATTTATTTAGCTAAACCTTACATAAACCTATATTCTAGTTACATGCTTTAACATTATCATCGACAGTCCATATCAGGACTCTACTCCCCTACCGCTTGCGTATTTGTTAACATACGGTACGCGTATAAAACGCGTTTGATACGAAAAACATACGCGTATGATACGAGAACGATACGCGTATGATACGAGAATGATACGCGTATGATACGAGAATGATACGCGTATGATACGAGAATGATACGCGTATGATACGAGAATGATACGCGTATGATACGAGAATGATACGCGTATGATACGAGAATGATACGCGTATGATACGAGAATGATACGCGTATGATACGAGAATGATACGCGTATGATACGAGAATGATACGCGTATGATACGAGAATGATACGCGTATGATACGAGAATGATACGCGTATGATACGAGAATGATACGCGTATGATACGAGAATGATACACGTATGATACGAGAATGATACGCGTATGATACGAGAATGATACGCGTATGATACGAGAATGATACGCGTATGATACGAGAATGATACGCGTATGATACGAGAATGATACGCGTATGATACGAGAATGATACGCGTATGATACGAGAATGATACACGTATGATACGAGAATGATACGCGTATGATACGAGAATGATACGCGTATGATACGAGAATGATACGCGTATGATACGAGAATGATACGCGTATGATACGAGAATGATACGCGTATGATACGAGAATGATACGCGTATGATACGAAAATGATACGCGTATGGTACGAGAATGATACAAGGATGAAACGCTGTGATACTTGACAGAACTTTATTCATCGTAATGAGCAGCAATTTCACTTTTTCCTACGCGTATCATACGCAAAATTATGTTAACAAATACGCCAGCGGGAGTTTTTAGCTGGAAGATCTACATCTAGAAACATCTCATAAATTGCAAAATGTTATTGATTCATCTACCTTTATCAGTTATAATGCATAATTGCGATCACTCGTATTCTACGTTCATGTATACTCAGGAAAATTAGACTGAATAATGCATCTGGTGTGAAAATTAAAGCAGGAAGTTGGTAGTTATTACACATTATATCGATCCCCCTTTCTTATACATGGTGAATTAATTGCTTTAAACATCTTTCTCTCCATTTCATAGACATTTTTCTCGGTTATGTGTTAAAAAAACGCATAAGGCGTGATTTTTTATGACGAAAGTTTCGTCTTCATTTTCGTACAATAATTTCTACTTGAGCGCGTTATCAGTTAAATATACATACAAATGACAATTTATAGACCTGTCGACATTCATATCAAGTATTTCATACGAAGTCACTAAACGTTCCACAGTCTGTTCAATTTTTTGCATGTGATTTTTTTATAATTATAACGCAAAAGTCTGCAGTAGTGATTTGCGCTGCGTCATGAGGAGTAGAAGCCGAATAAAATTTTCTCAACAGACTAATTTTTTGTGGTATTAACCAACACCTCAAATAAAATTGAATTCGTCCTTAGGAAAAGACGTTATGTTAATCGTCTTCGAAGTATTAACTGCTTTATAATTTTGTTGCGACATTGTGCTGAAAACCATATCATCGAGCAATCACGACTATCGTGTTAAATAACAATATCGTATCAAGTAATAATAATAGTTTATAATCTGAAAAGAAACTTGTTTTGCACATTTTGCAAGAATGACTTCTTACTAACGAAAACTCATTTCATCTCATAGCTTTAACTCAATACAAATCCTGCAACCTCGGAACAAGACCATTGTACGCCATTGTTACTGGTAAATTAACAACCTCTGCTACGATTACACAAATCCGAAACATGTTGAATGGCACTGAACTCAATAAGTTTAAGGCAGCTGGAATAGTAACCAACAATGCCAATTTGGTTTTGTACACTGGCGGATCAGTTAAGGAATACGTTGGATCATATGGATATTACTACAATGGTCTTCGTGGAGTAATCAAAGGCGCAGCGCCATCTTTCACGATGTCACTAACTTTACAAATCGCCGCCATTTTGGTTTTCTGGCTCATGGCTTAAATCGTGCATGCATATGCAATTCGGCAACTCAGTGCTCTTATGAAGAAAACTGAATATTAATTTATCACTGTTCAACAAATACAAAAACACAACGTACTTAATTCATCAGCCATGAAATCAACGTTGTGGGAAAAACATTTTAAATTTAAAAACACCGTAATTCATTAAAAACATGTTTTATGATAGTTCCACATAATATCTTATTGTATAAGATTTCTTATAACAATAATATGCTTGCACTAATTTTTAATAATATCTATTTTAACACCGTAGTTGATTTTGTCTCTTAAGATATAATTTGTTTGGGTGAAGTCAACAAATATTGCTTCCTTTGAGAAGCCTCACAAATAGACAATGGAAAAGTGATTGAGCAATACGTTACGATTTCTATATTTCGTTGATATCTCCTTCAGATTTTATGTGTTATAGAAAATTTTGCTAACACGACGTATCGTATGTAATATGTCGTAAAAATAGTGTAAAAATTTCGTGGATTCATCTGTAAATGAGAATATTACACAGCTAAATACGTCGTGTTTGCTAAATTTCTGTAATAAAAAGAGAAAATGTTTTTTTCATAGCAGAGCAGTTGTACTGTATAAAATACGTAAAAAACTTCAGCTTAAAAAAGGAGAGGCAGAAAAAGAAAAAAAAACAGTAAAAATTCTTCCAAACAAAACACATTCGTCAGTTTATGGCAGCCTTATTCAAACGTAAAACAGATGGAATAAAATCATTATCCTCGACAAAATCTGCAATCACAATATTTACACCACGAGATCCCCTATGTCGCCCCTTAAGCCATTTAACAAGACTGACGGTAGCCGTTTCTGAAATCCAAGCCTTCAAACTTCCATTTACCGCCTGTCCAGCAACTATTTCCATCCAATGAGGTTCCATTATGCCTTGCGTGACGTAAAACGCATTTTTTGGACGCTTTTTGGCATACTCTTTGCTTAGAAATCCTAACCATTTTGAATGTTCTGTAAAGATGTCGCTGTTGTAGGGAGAAATTATACTTTTTTGACTGGACCATGCAAACATGGGTATTTTTTTTTCAAGAGAATAACTAACGAAAAAGAGAACTTGTTTCTTCAGTTGCCACATCTTTTGTAATGTAAATGAAGATAATTTTTCCGTCCTCGGGCACAAATATTTTCCCAAGAGCGTCGATACTTTAGAAAATAGGAGTTCGCGCACTTTAGGTGACGAAGCATACATGTGATTAAAATCTAGTATGACGACTTCTTTTCGACAGTTCTCAAGGAAGTCCGCACTTGTTTCAAGATGTTATCCAAGGTAGCCCCGATTAAACCGTGTTCTACATATCTGGCAAAAATTACATTAAAAATGAAGCACAATTAAATTGATGCGCGCGCATGGGTCGCTCGACAGGCAGATACACGTGACAGTGAAATTCTAGACTCTACAATAAGCGTAAAGAGCAGAAATCAAAGCGCAAATACTTGCATCTCAGTGGAGTATTTGCGTATCAAGCGCAAATACTTGCATCTCAGTGGAGTATTTGCGTATCAAACGAAAAAGGAAGCAAAATTATATATTACTGCACTTGTTTTCATGAAAGACAAAGATCAGTTTAATGTGTATTTTCAAATAGGCACTAAATTGCAGCTGTTTGTAATTGACGTCATTGTTTAATCCTATCGTTTTCCCGCGAAATTAAAAGGAAAGAATGATTGCAAATATTGAGAGAAAAAACGAGCGTCTTTTAATTTCATCCGCCATATTGGTTTTAGAACCTCGTCGGTAAATTGTCACGTTAGAACTTTTCAAACCCAAGTTTTGAAAATAAAAAATTTTATGCAGAGATTAGGCACGATGCCATTTATGGAGGTGCACTAGTTTGCATCATATTTCGGTGACGAAGGTTGCCGTACGACGTCAGACTTTTTTCTTTAAATTCAATCACCGTTTCATTATGATTGGGAGATTTTTGACGAAAGCATGCTCCATTCATTGAACGCTAATCATAATTGCTTGCGCATAGCTGTTACGTATAGCAGTATTTTGTAGGAAAACAAGCCCCCCTCTCACACCCCATATAGCATAGGATAGGAGAGTCAGTGGTGTAGAAGCGGGGGCGCTCGGGGGAGGAGCCCCCTTCTACTTTTGAAATGGGTAACTTTTCATAATTTCATGGCTTCAGCTTCGTCAAGAAAGCCCCCATCTGATAAATTTAATTCTATAGCACTGACGAAAGGTGAATATCCAACCCCTAAATCAGTTTATGACAAGTTTTCACAAAAAATAATGAACAAACAATTGCAAGTGAGGAGTGCAGTACTTACATGTCCTTTTTCGAAGGAAGATATATAATTCTCATATCCAAATACCGTATACCACTTGCGAGCTGCTGACCAATGGTTTGAGTCTGCGTTACTGACCAGCGGTAAACAATGTCTTTTGCTATGGCTGGGTTGATAAGATTTACGACTTCTTTAATCTGAAATAAGAGAAAAGCAATGTAAAAATGATTATAATTGTGTTCATTATACGTTAGAACCTCATTTACCACAGAGTTTAAACTATCGAATTACGGAGCTCGCGGGCTCAACGAGTAACTGCACGAATCATGTGAGCCTGGAATGGCTAGTTCGGTCAGCGGTACATCGTGCAAATGTGGTGGTAACAGCTCCATCCAGTGGGAGAAATTAACACCTTCAGCTGCGAAACCTATTATTGTAGATTTTATTAAGGTTTTAAAAATAACGTTTTATCTAACACAATTTTCGATAAACTTCCATTTTTATACATACCTGAGACATTGTGAACGAACAAAACAAATAAGACAAAGCTATGAGTGTTCAGTTTGTAGACAAATGGTCGCGACTTTGAGCATCTAGTGTAAACAAAATATACAGTTTGTTTGTTGATTTGTCGAAGAAATTCTTGTAGAACTATGTTATAAATTACCTTAAACATGCGAACGACGATTTTCTCGGCAACATTGAGCGTAAATACCATAAAACTCCGCTACCACCAACACGAAAATATTCAAATCTTGACTTTTAATAACGGGTGGCAACTGGTGAACAAATGACAACATCAATATCTTTATTTCAATTACTAAGGGATAATCAACCGACTTTCTCATCACGCAATCAATAATTTGTTTGTTTAAAGATTTTAAAATGAAGAGGAAAGTAATGATACACTGAAAGTACAAAACTATCTTTGTGGAATTTTATTCACTCTGAGCCATTCGGTGGTATAAATCGGAAACGACTGAGATTGATGATAACTCTAATTTCAGACACTGTCTGCTCTCTACATCTTTGTGATAAAGATGTGTCGGTATCTTCAATTATTAAAACTAAAACAGTTGAACGTTCACAATATCTTTTCTTATTGTAATTCTGGCTCTTGTTCGAGTCTTACAACTATCAATACAGGCTTACGTTAAAACGTAAGCGTTTAATGAAAATGCGAGATTTGGCGAATGAAAATCGTTGTATTAGATTCTTGTCTGTTATATAATTACCGACGATCGTTGTTTGCTAAATTAATTCAAATAAGGCAAGGATTTCTTCTATACACAATACATACTTATCGCATGCTGATAGCTAAATGGTAAAGGACAGCAAGCTGAGATAATGGTGCAGGCGTGCTTTTCTTCTCGGGAGTTTTATTTACAATTTTTTTGGGGGAATAAATAATACAAAATATGGCTATGTTGTAAGCATAAATATTTGCATAGTGTTGAACTTACCTTTTGCGCTCACTTTGTAAACAGAGCTGTGTGTTCACTGACTGTAAAATTGACCAATTCTAAGGAATTGAATAATGCAAATTGATTTCATATTTACACAGCAAAAATAAACCCTCAAGTTGGTAATGAGATTGTTAAAAAAAAATGATCATTTACCGACAAGATATAATCACCCGACGTTATAAACTCTATAAAACTAGTTTTAGCTTTAAAAAATGTTCAATCCCTCTAATTTTGCCCATTCGTTATGTTACCATAGCGATTTACAATTGCTATACAATAAAGACCTTTAATGCCAAAAAAAAGCGCAGTAATTTCCCGCAATATGGTTTGACTGGACTAAAAACACGGATAACGGTAACACGGATATCGGGAAAACGTACCGTAAGAATGCCACTACTTCAGTACATACTTCAGGGATATTCAAAGTTATATTAGCTTATTATATCAAAAAACAGAACAAACGAAAACACAATAAATTTATTTGATACATTTTGTTGTGAGGCACTTAGGTTTTTTACATAACATATGACTGGTCTTACGATTTGAAGTATGAACAGGCAATTTCAATTGTAAACTATATTTTGATCTTGCAAAGAGAACTTTAGTGCAAAAAACTTGTCTCACAAACGTCTCGTGTTAATGATTGCTTCGTCCTACCACATGTCGTTTGGCAAAGAAAAAAAATGCCCATGAAAAAATCTTCCTTGAAGACGTCGCGATCTTTTCATATAAGAAATAATAAAGACCTTTGAGCTGCTAGATTTAAAAGAATTTTGACAGCTAAAGCAAGATACTGCATTCGGTATTATTATTGTGTCTGAGAAGTGGGAACAAGTAATTAAGTGATTAAGACTTACGTTTGGACCATTCTAGGTTGAAAAGAGAAAAATTATCTGGGGTCTAATAAGCGAACCATTGCGTGTAAGAGACATTGTTCGTTATATATTTATGTTTTATATATGTCATGAACCTTTGGAGAAATAATATCCTCAATAACAGTATTAAGTCGGTCACAAAGGAAACTTCAATGGTAGATATTGGTAAAATTATGTAAGTGAACAATTATTCTTACCCGCGCTCGCTATATCCGTGTTACTTGTATCCGTGTTAACTTTATCCGTGTAATTAGCCAGTGCTCTACTTAATATTAAAAATGCTTCATTCCAATGGATTCTTTTATCAAATGGCTATTGTGCTGGCTATCTATCGTCAACCAATTTTCCACAATGTAGAAGTAATGGCCGCGATGTTACTTGTTGTAAAAACCTTGAGAAAAATTCCTTTGAATTTTCACGACAATTTTTTGCCATGCCAAACATCCATGCAAAATATGTCAAATAAGCAAAAAGAAAGCAGGATTTAGCATATTTGCAAAAAAACGCCCCCTCATTTGACGATTGTTTTTCAAATAGATCGCAGATATTGAGAATTTTACTTATGACTCATTGAATTCAATTGCATCAATATTGTTCCTCAAGTTGACGATATTAATCCTGCAATATTAATGCATATGAGCGCAGTTCTTGGAAGGGGAAATTCATGGCGTTTCCTACAGTTGGTATTGTAGTTCAAGCCAATAGCAATAAAGAGTAATGTAGCAATTAGCGTTATCTCCATTCTCATTGGATGAGGCTTCGGTACGAGATTCATACAAATACACTTTACCAAGCTGACGGTGACACTTGTCCGAACAGGCGTTACGTAAAGCACTGATCAACCTCTTCACAAGCAGTTATCCAGAAATTCTCTGAAGAACCATTTCTCGTCAAAAAATGTATCGACAAGCAGCGATATTATTTGCATTGGTCGTTTCCTTCGTGGTTGCTGATCATCACATTCCCTACAAAGGTAAGGTTGAGAAACTGATTAATTAACAAGGAAGCCAGATGTTTGAAATCAGTATTGCTGTATTAATGAACTAATGATTTGTTGTACACACGCAGGGAAGTTTAATGCAAGAGATAAGCATATGTGTTAGGCGACTACCGAACATGTGCTTTGACAATAGCTTCAATTGCAACTGCGGCGTGCACTTTGACACGTATATTTGCCAGTTGCATACGTGTCAGATAATTGGCGTCAGTACTTTCATTTCCAGTCGAAGGCATTGCGGTACGCTGTAAATATCATGTAAGGAAGCAAAACTGAGACGTATATAATGTGAATTACAGCAAACATAATTATTTACAAAATATATTTGCCGAAAGCAGAGGCGTACCTGGAACGTTATTTGGGGTGGGGTGGGAGGGTGCATATTCATATACTCCTTAATTACTTTTGGAAGTAATTTGAATTTCGAAAGACATCAGTAGGGCACAACTGAATATATGAATATACACGTGTTCTTTTGTCGAGCACGTTTATCTGTATGTGATACAGAGATAAATAAATTCATAAAAGTTGTGAGTGTGTTGGCTATCAACTTGTCTTTTAAGGCGTTCACAACATTACTCAGATTCACGCATGCATATCAAATTAGCTTGCTTCAAACACTACATTTTGAAGAAACGCAAGTCATTTTCACGCATTGAGAAGACCATCGTCTCCCATAGCAAAGGATTAAGGAACAAGGCCTGTCGATGTAGTAAACAAATTTGAATTCCATGAATGAATGAATGAATAAAATTTTCAAATGGCGTTGTCAAATGACGTTGATTTTAACGAGTGGAGTGCTTTTGTGCAAATACAATTACAAAAATTACAACGCAATAAAACCGCTATAGAGGTAAAACATAGAGATAACAAATAACTATAGAGGTAAAAGATAGGTTTAGATGTTTAGATATTAACAAAGCTTAGTTCTATCATTAATTACAAACTTAACAAAATCATAAAATGCAAGTGGCAATACTATTTTGTAAAAGTGACACATTTTTGCTATCTCTGATATCTCGTTGGAATTGAATTCCATACAGAAGCCACATGAAGCTTTTCTTCAATGAGTTAGTGTTTTGCATATTGACAATTCGTAACATCACGTAGAATACGTTGATTAATGTTAGTCACACAATAATTAAATATGAAGCTTAAATGTTTGTTTCGTTTTTTGAGAAT